TTAATTGTTTTGGAGAGAAAATATGACAAAAAAGTTATTTCCTTATCGTGATAATTTTTTTAGGCCACAAAAGATTTTTTTACAGAGAAAATTTAAAACTGATTAAATTTCTCATCTTAATATTATTTTTGTGCTGCAAATATTTTTTTGTTACATTTTCGTAGTAAAAAAATGAAGTAACTAATAATTACCGTAAAACAGGGTTATTTCGCTCAATGCGGGTAAAGTCGCTCACCCATTTTTTTGCTTTAAATTTGATTTAAACTAAAATTTAGTATTTCTATTAACAAATTTAACATTTTAACCTGGTAATAAAGGTATTAAACTTTATTTTAATGCTGAAATAAAGCATAAAAGTGGGTGAGCGAATTTACCCGCAATGAGCGAAATAACCCTGTTTTACGGTACGTTATTTAGTTAATTAATTTATTTACAGAGAAAATTTGACAAAAAATTATTTTCTCATCGTGATATTTTTTTTGAGCTACCAATAAATTTTTTACAAATAAAATTTTTAAAAAATTATTTTCTCATGGTGAAATTTTTTCTGTGCTACGAGTAATTTTTTTTGTTAATTATATTCTCATCGTGTTTTTTTTTTTTTTAGATCACAAATAATTGTCTTGAAAAAATTTTTTTTACTACAAAAATTTAACAAAAAAATTATTTTTTAATGGTAAAATTTTTTTTGGCCAACAATTTTTTTTTGTCAAATTTTCGTTAAAAATAATTAATTAACGAATTATTAAGTATGACATTATGTTATTAATAATTATTCATGACATTAGTTATTTATTAAGTTAATTATTTGTCATATTTAAAATAAAATAAAATATCTAATAAAATCAAATTTTTCAAATGTTTCCGCGCTGCGCTGATGGCTCAGCTCTGGACTTAAGTTCGCTCAACGCCACAGGGAGGGCGAACATCATAACTGTTTCTCGCAGTTGAGGTGCCATTAGATTGGTATATAAGCAGTGATCGAAAATTTTTTTCTTGTCGAAATTTTTTTCTGCCCGATGTCTCTCCTACCTATTTATTGGATTTGAGACAAATTCTTTTTTGGAAGAAATGGTTTCACTAATATTTTGATGACCATTTTTTTATTTTAATTTAAATATTAAAAATAAAATAATAATAATAATAACTATTAAAAAATAATAAAAATAAATTTTTTTTTAAATTATTGATTTTTTAAATTATTATTCAAATTTTTAATATTGGATATTGGACTTACTAAATTACTAAATAAATAATATTAAAATAATTTTTGCAACATCGCAAACGACATCGTAAACGACATCGTAAACGACGTAGTAAACGACGTCATTTACTATCCCAAATTCCGCTTTCATTTACGACGTCGTTTACTATGTCGTTTTCTACGTCGTTTACTACGTCACAAACTACTTAGAATACGACGTCGTAAACGAGGTCGGAATTTTCAACAGGGTTGACTGAACTTGAACAGGAATAAATAAGTTTTGGCTACTATTTCTTCCTTTTTTTTTTAAAAGATGTTTTTTTCCTTTTGAATGGGATCGTAAAGCACTTATCCCCATATTACTAATATCAATAAGACCATTACATAAAATACATGAAGCTTTGAAATTATTAGACTTTTCTTTTCGTAGCCAGTAAAATTCAGGATATCGGTCCACTTCCAACCATTCATCTTGAAAATTACACAGTCTTTTAGCTATTTCTAAATTTCAATATCACAACTAAAACATTAAAAGCAAATTCAAAAGTTTAAACATCATCTAGCGCTTTTATAATTTGTTCATGAAATAAAAACCAGTCAACTTTCTGAAGGTTAAAACGGGTCGAATTGGAGCTAACCTCCTGAGGCCTAACAGAAAAGTCACAAATAACTGGAATATGGTCAGATCCATACGAATCTTCGCTTATAGAGATGTTAAACATATTGATCATAGACAATGGGACCAAAATGAGATCAAGGTTATTTGACACTTCCCCTATCCTGGGTACATATGTAGGTAATTTATCATTTACTGAAACTACATCGCAGTCTTCCATTCCCTGAGAGAGGATGTTTCCCTTTTGATTAGCGTAATCAGATCCCCAAGAAGGGGAATGAGCATTGAAGTCCTCGCAGACTATTCTAATATTTGCTTAATTAGATGGAGTTAAAATTTCTTTCCAAGTGTTAATCTCTGGTAAGGGATTGGGAGGTGAATAAATGACTATAATTTCATATATTTTCAAGGTAGTATGAATATTTAGGCCATTACGAAAGTCAAATTTTGATTTCGTTTCGATATTTGTAACGATGCGGTTTAGTAAACGAAACGAAAGTCGAAAAGACTTTTAATTCGGTTTGTTGAACGAAACGAAATTAAAATATAATGTTGGTACAGTTTGGTAAACGAAACGAAAGTAAAATGTACTTTTGATTCGGTTTGATAAATCGAATCGAAAATATAATGTTGACTTTTTATTCCGATAATATCCGTCGCTATGTGACTTTAAACTTGTGACTTTAAACTTGAGACTTGAAACGTAAGATTTAAGACGTAATATCTTAAGACATATATGGCTTAATTCAGTTAGAGAACCGGAAGTAATCTGACAAACTTTTGTTTTGTTTAAAAAACAAAATCAGAAGTATATTTTGCATTCGTTTGGTTCACTAAACCAAATCGAAACTAAGATAACTTTTGATTCTGATTTCGCAATCAAAACCGAACAGACTTAAGTTTTGATTCAGATTTCCGAATCAAAACTTAAATGAACTACACTTTTGATTCAGGTACCAGAATAAAATCTGAATATAGCTTTTGACTTTTGATTCTGATTTCGGAATCAAAACTGAAAAGAGTTGACTTTTGATTCTACTTTCAGAATTAAAACTAAACAAACTTTAGTTCTAATTCCGACATCGTGATCAGAATCAAAACAAAAGTGTTTTTGAATTTTGTTTTGATTTCGTGAAGGACCCTGATAAGAAAATATGAGTTTTGTACAAGTAAATATTTTATTATTTCAAACAAATTTTTACGGTTTTGAGAGCGCTCAACACGAATCTGATATGAAAAATAACTTTTGAAAGATACCAGTTGTTAAGTCAAATTTAGAAAATTAAAAATTTTAAAGAAATTTAAGTTAACTTCTGGAAGTATAACGCTTTTTTACAAAAAAATGACAATGACAATATCTATAAAATCAAGCATTTAAGGACGAATAATGTTAATTACTTTATTTTCGTTAAATGTCGGTTCGACGAATGATGTAATTTTCTTTATTTTTCGTTTAATGTCGGTTCGACGAATGATGTCAAAAGAAACATCAGAAATGTTCCAAAAGTCATATTAAGTAATCAAACAAAATTATTAGTAAAATATACTGTTATTGTTTAATTAATGAACTTTTTATTGACTATACCTTCACACCTTCCAAATTCACACGAATAATGGTCTCTTAAATATAAATTTTCTGTAAATGCAAAGAATCTTGGCTTCGACGAGTTTAATCCGCGAGCACAAAAATAGCTATCATTACAATACCTATTAAAATAAAAAATGAAAGAGAACATAAAAATTATATTTTCTAAACATTTAAATCAAAATTATTATTTTCAATTTATTTATTTATTATAATTGAAAAATTTATTAATTAATTAAAAATTAATTTTTAAATTTTTTTCGTTTTGCAAAAGATTTAATTAATTTTTAAAGTGGAGAAAAAAATTAATTAAATCTTTTCAAAACGAAAAAAATTTAAAAATTAATTTTTAATTAATTAATAAATTTTCAATTATAATAAATAAATAAATTGAGAATAATAATTTTGATTTAAATGTTTAGAAAATAGAATTTTTATGTTCACTTTCATTTTTTATTTTAATATATTGAAATTATTTCCTTAATTATTTTTAAAAAGCCTTTTTTGGTTATAAAAAACTAATAGAATTGTTTATTAATAAATAAAAAATTTTGAAATTAATTTCCACCAATTTGTAAATTTTTAATTAGTAAATAATATTTAAAAAATTAATTAATTTTATAACCCTTTCATATGACCTTCAGTTATATAAAAATATTTTGCAGTATTATTTCGATACACTTTCAAATTTTATATTCATCTACAATGTAAATATTTGGAATATTGAAATATCTCCGTGAAAACCTTTTTAAATTAGCCCGCCCCTTTGAGTCGATAAGTAGGATCACTTGTCTATCAGTAAGTTGTAGAGTGTGTGGAAGATTTTTTTTTTCAGCCAGATATCTGTAGTGTAGTGGTTAGGGTCTTTAGCTAGCGCGCGGCGAACGTAGGTTCAATCCCCAGCACACCCCAATTTGTTTTCAAAAATTGTTGTTTATCAAGCATGCAATACTTGATTCAATGTGAAACAAAGCATCAAAGCAGAGCAACGATGTTGTAACTTATTTATTTTATTTTTATTCCCAAAAAATAAATTTTTTTTATTGTCCTCCGATAATTAATAACTAATAATTAATAATAATAATAATTAATAACTATTAATATAAATTAATACAACAACAATAATAATAATAATGATTTATTATTATTATTATTATTATTATTATTATTAATACTTCTTAAATATTATTTATTTTTATTTTCTGAAAATGTAATTTAAATTTTCAGGAAATGTTCGTCGCAAAAATTGACTGAATATTTAAATTAAATTTTCAGTCCACTTTTGCGATAAAACTTAAACGAATGTTTAATTTAATTATTTAGTCAACTTACTTGCTAAAAATTTAACAAACATTTAATTTCAATGTTTATTCAACTTTCCTGATGAACATTTAAGGAATATTTAATTTAAATGTTTACTCAGCTTTCCTGATAAACATTTATCGAATATTTAATTAAAATGTTTACTCAACTTTTCTGATAAACATTTATTTATTGCGGACATTTTACTATTTATGCAACCTTTACTCAAGTTTGCAATTAAACATTCCGAACATTGCAGTTAAAGCTTTAATAAATGTTTACTAAACTTTCAGTGCTGTGTGGGCAGTCACTAGAAATCTGTGATGGCGGTTGAAATGAAAAAGTATTAAAGAAAAGAAAAGTCATAAGACGCATAATGGCGCTTTAGAAAAAACAGTGCTCATGTGGTTTACTGAAAAACGTGAGATTGGTTAACCGGTCAGTGGTCTACTGATTTGCGAAATAGCATTAATATTAAATAAACGATTAAACGGCTCTGAAAAATTCAAAGCCAGTACTGGATGGTTTAAGTCTTTTAAAAATCGGTATGGCATTCGGCAACTGTCGATACAAGGGGAAAAGCTATCTGCAAATGAAGAAGGTGCATTAGATTTTTCTTTCAAAATTTAATTGAAACAGAAGACTACAGTTTAAACTGTGTATTTAATGCCGATGAAAGCGGAATTTTATGGAAAAGTCTGCCAGAAGTCACTCTAGCTGCAGATAAGGAACAGCGTGACTGTCCAGGTATGATACATTAAAAATTGTGATGTTTTCGTTTGAATTTAATTTATTTCGAGAAATTGATTTTTATTTTACTTTAGTTCTTTTGTCTCTTTATAACAAAATTTTTCTTAATATAATATATAATTAATATAATTGAATATGAATTTATTGTTATTTACAATTTGAATTTAGAGTTGTATTTATTTTAGTAATGACAATTCTAATTTATATATTGACCTTCTAAAGTTTAATGTTGTTTATTACATGTTGTTGTTTATTATATGTAAAACAATTTATATATATGTTGTTTAAACTTGTTTATTTTTTAAGTCTTATTTAACAGCCGTTGAACGCAAGATAGGTCATTTTCTTATTTCTTCCTTTTTATTTTTAATTTATTGACAGTTGTTTGGAATTACTTTTAAATATAATAATTTTTCATTTTTATATTAATTTCAAATTTATATGCCTTTTTATTAATGTTAATTATGAGTCTAAAACTTTGCCTAAATATTGAATTTAAGACGAGAAAAGGGACCTAACGTGCTTTTGACTTAAGGTTCATTCACTGTGTCATGTCACGGTAAAAGCGAACCTAAAGTCTAAACCACGTTAGGTCCCTTTTCTCGTAGAGCGTCACATATGTTCTTCTTTCTTCAAAATTTATGTATTATTTTTAAGTTTCATATTTCAATGTACACGTGCATTCGACGAAATATCCCACCAAAGATCTGACTTTGGCGATTTTGTTTATTTTATCCCTACTCTCTAAAAAACTGTGTCGAACAAAGGGATCTCTTAATCTACACTTGAAAAAATATCAGTATGCTCTTAGCCTTTATTAAAAAATGTACTCATTTATTTTATGTCAATAAATACATCTACATTTTTGATTTACCTCATTAAATAATAAATTATGTGTTAGTGCATTATAATTTCAAAAATTTATTTACAATCCTTTTAGTGATACAATTAAAATCAGTTGGTTTAGCAATCAAAATACCAAGTATTTTCCATAAAAATCAACTAACACGTTTGATTAAATAATTCATAAAATTTATATCACTAGTTTTCATAATTGATCTGAAAAAACATTACAAATAACAAATTCAGATAATTTTAAACAATTTACATGAGGCAATGCGTTAAAAACACCTCTTTCTACAACATATGTATCTAGGTAATGCATTGAAAACACCTAGTGATTATATATTAATTAATACGTCTACTTTGATCCAAAACAGCTAAATTATAATATATTCATTTGATTTCGTCTTTTTAAATAAGTGTCTAATGAGTACTATGCATATAATTTCTTGATTCATTCAATTCAAGGAAAATATATTGTGTGATCATTTACGTCTAATTTATACAATCTATAACGATCAATCACTTTCGACAAAATGGAAGAATTTGATCGATTAAGTGTACTTTTACAAAAAAGAGCAACTTTAAAAAAACATATAACTGCTTTTCGTGATTTTATTACTCAATATGATTAAAACAACCCTACTCAAATCACTGAATTACAATTGCGTTATAGTACAGTTTTTTAATTGTTTACTAACATTGACGATTTAACCGATGAAATTCAATTAATTGATTTGGAAACAGATCACAGTTCATAAAAGAAAATTATTCAAGATTTATGTTACCAAACACTCGCAATTGCTCAAAATAGTTTTGCTTTCGTTTTACAGTCAGTTAATAGTGGTGTACATTCCAAACACCATGCTTCATTAAATAATGAAAATTTCAATGAATCGGTCGCGTCAACAACACGTCGAAAAATTAAATTAACTCAACCTATTCTTCCTACATTCAGTGGGAAGACTAAAGAATGATTGTCATTTAAAGATACTTTTGATTCTATGATAAATAAACGCGATGATCTTAGCAATATTGAAAAATTACAATATTTAAAATCAGTTTTAAAAGATGAAGCTTTGCGTAAAATCCAAGTTTTTTCTATTACTGAGGATAATTACGATCGCGCTTGGCACTTATTGCAAAGATCATATAAAACGCAAAACAGAATTTAAAAGACAAGCTCTTATCACATCAACTACAAAAAATTGTCCACTTTGTTCTGAATCTCATTTTTTGTTTAAATGAGGTAAATTTTTATCACTAAAAGTAAATGAACGATTTAAAACAGTTAAAGATGCTGGTTTATGTATCAATTGTTTAAGAAATCACAAGGCTAAAGATTAATATTAACTACATCTTTTCAATAAATGACAAGTGCATTAGTTAATGTGTTCGATTTAAAAAAACCAGATTAAAGCTAGAATTTTACTCGATACTTGCGCTACTGCAAATTTTATAACTACTAATCTTTTCAAAAAATTACAACTTTCTCAAACTAAATGTTCATTTTCAGTAGGTGCTTTAAATAATCTCACAACCACCGTAAATAGTATGGTTTCTGTAACTTTCAAATCCATTTACAATGAACATAAACGTACCATTAACTGTCTTATTGTTCCTAATATAACAGATTTAGTTCCAAATGAAACTATATCACGTGAACAACTCAAAATTCCTAAAAATATCTTATTAGCAGACCCCAGTTTTCACATACCTGGTCAAATTGACATGCTAATTGGATCTGGAACTACCTTTTCTCTTTTTTCTATTGGATCTATAAATTTATCAAAAAATGGAAATTATTTATTCTTACAAAAAACTCGATTAGGATGGATAATTGGTGGAGGTCTAGATCTCTCAACAAAGTCTCAAACATTAATAAATCCTAAATGTACACTACCGTCGGAAATTGTCGGTACGACTAACGTGCGAGGAGTGGAAATTCCACAGGAAAAAATAAGTTTTGTTTCAAACCCGAAAAGAAGCTAGTTTCAATATGGGACACAAACTAGACGGATATAGTTTCTAACTCGCTCATATCCTAGTGAAAAAAACACGTATAATTATACGTATAATAATACGTATTATTATACGTATAATAAGACATACGAATTTGAAACAAGTATTATACGTATAATTCTACGTATATTTATACGTATTATTATACGTGTTTTTTTCAATAGAGTAGAATAAGTCTTACTTTAAGCCTACTGTAGAGGCTAACAATAAGCTGCCTTTCGAAATAGAAAGTAGCCACAAGCTCGAAACTGGGCTTAAATCAAACCACTGCGCGGTATAAAAATTAGCTAACATAACCTAAACTTTTATGAAACCTGTCAACACCATATTATTGAAATTTTACATAAGTTTTGAAACATCAAACAACATTTTATTGATATAAATCATACTTTATATATAATACATAAAGAGACCAATTTATTTTTGTATATAATTTATATATTTTTATATTTGTGAGAAAATTGTAATAAAATTATGTTGTATATATAACATTATTTTCACACTCGTAACAATTGAAGCTGAATTTATAGGACACAAACAACAATTCATGATATGAAAATGTTTTATAAACATAGTTTTTAAATTTTTTATACAGGAATGAATATGTAAGTCTTTTGAATTAATTCTTTTAGTTCCGATTAACTATAGACGCGTCACATTTTTGGAAAGGCGTCCATGACACTTTACACTCTGACACTTTCGTTGTACGTCTAGTTACAACTCACTAGTGTCTAGACCTCATGGGCTTGATTGAAGACTTTTAACGTCTCATTTATAGCGAATAAAATTTTGTATTGAGTCCAAGACCACAAAGGCTTGTTTTGAATCTAATAGAACTGAATATTTGTCATATTAATATCTCGTTTTTCACTAAGACCTCAACGGCTTATTTTTAGAACATTATTTGTGATTAATATTAGTTATCCGCTACTTTCTAATCAAAATAAAAAATTACACTATGCTCGGAATAAGACATTTTTTTCCTGTGTCGGTGCTGATTTTAAAGAAAGATATTTTAAGTTAGAAAAAAGTTAGAAATTTCTAACTTAGATGGTTGGAAAGCTGATAAAATTCTGCTTCTGAATGTATATCTAGAAAATTTTTTTCTTTTTTTGTATTTATAACAACGAAAAGATTTCAAGACAAAATTATGCAATTTTCGTACTGTCGTACTACTGTTTCTGACTTTGGCATAATCTAGAATAATGTATGGAAAAATTTGACAATTTTACAACATAATCTTAAAGTTCTTAACTTTAATTTGCTTTTTTGAAACTTAAAAAATATTTTGTAGTTCCTGAAACAGGTTAAAAAATGTTCGAGCATGCGAGGGGTTTTTCACTTAAGATTCCGTAAGAATCATTTAAACATTACTTCACAAATTATTATAAATGTATGCGATATCTGCAATGTAATGCGAATTCCGTCAAATCAGTACGTTGTAAAACGCTGAATTAGATTTGTATTCAGAAATTTACCTTTCTTTGCACTTTTGAGCGTTCTGTCAGAGCCCGCTCTTTGTGTACGCATTCTGTGACAGACTATGACAGACTTAGACGGAATTTGACGAAATCTAACAGAATTTAACAGAATGCGCGTAAGAAGAAGGAGAAGAAAAACACGAATATGCGTGAATGCTACAGGCAAAATATGTATATATTAAATATATGTACCTATTAAATATATATTATTAATAATAATATATAATATACAATTATATATAATATATAATATATTAAATATATACATATATGTGACGCTCCACGAGAGAAGGGACCTAACGTGCCTTTGACTTAAGGTTCATTCACTGTGTCATTGCACGGTAAAAGCGGACCTTAAGTCAAAAGCACGTTAGGTCCCTTCTCTCGTGGAGCGTCACATATATACATAATAGTGAATGCTGTTGTTTTAATTATATTTACGAACTTTTATGTCTATATGTATAACAAAAATAAAATAAATTATATAATTTCGTAAGGCAAAAATTTATATTATTAATTTATATTATAGCCGAATAAAACTATTTAAAAAATTAGTTTAATAATAATTAAGAAATAAATAAATATATAAAAATTATTTCTTAAAATACATTAATAAGCACAATTATGTTTAAAAATACTATTAATTATTTCTGGTCTTCTTGACACAAGTAAACACGACTCGTACATGTATCGCGCAGTACAGCGCATGCGCAACGCGAACGGGCCTCGATCAGAAACACTAAATCTTGCGTTCGCAAGCAAAATCAAACGAAATCCTACAGACTTCTACAGACTTTAGCGAAATCACACATTTCATCGCCAAAATGCTTTGTATTGATGAATCCAGTTGAAACTCACGTAACTTTGCGATGCAATGCGTTCACTAACGTTTTCTTCTTTTGCACCAAAACGTTAAAAGTTTTGGTAAAACAGAATTTTGCGTTATTTTATTGAATGAAAAACCCCTCGCGAGCATGTTTTTCTACATGCAAGCAGCGAGGCGGCAAAAAGTGATGATCGACGAGTTATAGAACAAGTAGGGGGTCCTTTATGTTTATTTCATAAACATTATGCTTCCTCATTGTGTGAAGCAAAAAATTCGCTTCCTCGTGAAGGAATCAATGAATTTGTCCAATTCAATTGATTGATTTAAAAACTTTCGAATTAAAAATGTTTTAAATTAATTAAATTTTTTGAAAAATAAAGAAAATTTTAATTAATTTTGAGTGTAACATAAACTTTATATATACGAATCGATTCGTTTTAATGCAAGGAATACAATTATTTTATTCATCAACTTGAATTAAAAAAAAACACAAAATTTTTTAGCTAAAATATGAATTTTCGATTTTTCAATTTTTATTAATTCTCAAATTTTAAATCAAATCTATACTTTATATATAGCAACCAATTCGTTTCAATGCAGGGAATAAAATTATTTCATATATAAACATGAATTTAAATAAACACATCATTTTTTAGCTAAAATGAGAATTTTTGATTTTTTAACTTTCTTTAATTCTTTAAATTTCAATCAAATCTATACTTTATATATATCAATCGAT